TTAGCTAACCTCCAACGTTCTAATTTAACAATGCGGGTCCCACGTACACAGTGTATCAACAATTTAGCTGTTACGTCAGCTGGACGATACACGGCGCGATACAGATATTACGAAACCCTATCGACGAAATCCCGTTGACACAGTTGTTCGTAGCCGCGTTACTCTCGCGATCGTTCTATCTCGGACAATGCAGGCGGCATTCGGAACGTCGCGTGCGATTTCGAAGCTACGTCGCCGCAGGAATACGCGGGCGAGTATTGCGCAATGCATTGTCGTCGCTTCGTGTCGCGGTGAGATAAACGTGACTCCGGCGCCCTGAGAGTGGCAAACAATAGGGGAAAAAAAGAGAGAAAGAGAGAAAACAAAGGAACGGGGGGGAAAAAAATGAGACGACCTGTTGGGGAACGAGCTGGCCGATCACTATGGGGTGCTCGCCGCGTTCGCTCTCACCCTCGCGTAGCGCCGCTCGTATCGGTTAGTCCCGCAAGATTCAATAATTTAAGCAGTAATGGCCTGGCCATCGATCGACGCTCGGCTGGAGTTTAAAATATCTCGCGTTGCCCGCTCTCTTGCGACTTCCCAGTGCTTATTTTTCTTTCCCGTCGCTTCTGTGCATTGCGAAATGCTCTGTACCGCAACGGCGATGTTTATCCGGAACATTAACCCAGCAAATGAATGTTTATTGACAGGATCGTTAACCCCTTTGTAACGGAGCCGTTATTTGTTAAAGAGAAAACTCCGCTCTCACGAATCATTTGCATGGTTATTGATATTCGTGAATTTTCGAGTAGACTTGTTCTCGGAGATCGATTGTAAGGTCGGTGACTTAGGACTCCCTTGAAGACAGGGTAGGGTGTATCGTATTCTCAAGGAGGCGACATGAAATAACTCAACGTAGTTTCTGCTTTTAACGTTAACGAGGCCGAAGGTGCAATTATTTAGACACAAATCTCTGCCACCTTGGTACACATCGATCGGCTTCGGCTATGTGGTTAAAAATATCTATTTGCATGCCTGGATGCATTATGGCAGTTTAGGCCGTCCTCCTTGAACTTCCTTTTTCGCCCCCTTTCCTCAATCTGATGCAGGACGACGGTGTCGAAGGCCGGGACTAGCCAATGAATAATTCCTCGTCGAAAGTAAAGCACCGTGTGTTTGCGTTAAATGTGAAAATTGAAAGTACTGAAAACAACCGAACGATCTCCCATCGTGTCTCGGTATTTATTTGTCCGGGTCCGGTCTTCGATTTATATGACAAAATACGTTTAACTGAAGTAGAAACGAATCGTTTCGAGATAAAGCTCTACCAATAAAGAAGAACACATTTTCGTAGCTTGCCGAAGCAAGGTGGACTGAGTTACATTTATACCGAAACTGGGCCAGGTGCGGATTAATATGTAATCTCGAACATTGATCGAGATATTAATTGAAACTATTGTCCAGATGTGCATACATATGCATCTGCTTCTGAAGGATCACCCAGAGACATATTCGTCAATCTTCCGGGACATGCGTCACGTCGTTATTCCACAAAAGCGGAAACTGCATAGTTCATCTGTTCTAACTGTCACAATACGCCGCGCACTTCATCCACTTCGTATTATGCACACGTCTGCGGACGTATGCTAGCTGAAACACATCTGCATTCATATCGCACGTTTGCGTAAGCGGGTGCATCGTCATCGTATATTATCCCGCTCTCGAAATGGAGGCGCTTCTTTTTCTTTTTTAGTTAGCTATTAAGCGAGAGCCGATGAGCGATGTTACCAATGATAGAAGCGTGGCAAAATAGTGCGCCGTGTCCATAAACAGCCCGATTCGATATTACGGCCACTCTAAATATAAGAATACACGTGACGCAAACGGGATATATAAGACTTTTCGTTATCGCAATAATCATCATTCGTGCTAGGTAATACAGTTACGTCATGTCAATGTACTCTTCTCACGTTAGAAAGTTTCGATCGAGATTTTTCGAGTTTTATTTGTAGACGAAGCAATTTGAAGTTACTTACCGTGGAATGTCGCCGATTCGCGGTGGCCGATACTTTCGCGGACTACCCACGTCGCTCCATACGTTGCAAGCTGGAAAATTAAAAAAGTACTTGAGTTAAACGCAATAATAGTTTTAACGCGCGGCGTTTTCACTGCGCAACATTGAACGTTGAAACGAGTGCGTCGGTTAAACGCTAATTGCACGCTTCACACGTTAAATATTGTTCAATAATCTAACAAGGGGTAATCTTCAATGTCGCCAGTAGTAATTAAAAGACTGCAAAGTCATTTTATGTTTCAAAACTCACAATGTTTCGACCATGGTTTGTGGTCCTTTTCAAGTGATATGGCAAAGTCTTTTTGATCAATAATATCAGTGATATAAGAACTACACTGAAAAATATTAATGTACTTTTACATGGAAATTACTTGTTCAAATCCGGAAAATTACCTAATTATAACTGTAATTTTTTTTCCAGATTTCTTAAAGTGAAAATACATATTAATGGTAAAATATAGGTGAAATATAGGTGAAATTACTATTTTTGTGTAAAAACACTTGAATTTTCATGCAAAATTACAGAAAAAAGTCTGCAATGTTCCATGTGGGTAGTAATATTGCATGATTATGCTGGGGCGGAAAAAAACCCAGCATAATCGTGTAATTTTACAAATATTTTTTTCAGTGTACGTAACATTCCCGAAAGCCTATTAAATTAAATAGCCGTTTGCTTTTCTCTAGCAGTGTAAAAATTGTTCCGAGCAACTTGCTGAAATTACTGAAATAGACTACCTCACAGTTTCAAACGAATCACAATCTTTTTCTCTTTTAGTTTTGATAGCTTCAATTAGTTTGACTTCGTCGAAGTGTCCAAAAATGCGCGAGAAATGGAACGTCCGTACGAAAGATGAAACGCGTGCGATAGAGGCGATTCCTGACGGGGAAGATTTGTGTGTATCGTGGGAAGCTATGGTCTTCCGGCTGGCGCGATGCCTCGTGCGGACGCGCGTCTTTTCTCCGTCCATAACAATGAAATTATGCGGATCAATTTCAGATGGACACATTTCCACGCCTGCCGCCTATAATTCAGCTCCTCTCTTCCGGGCATCATTGTGTCTGATCTTATATATCGCTTTCTCATTTCCATGTGAATCGCGATAGCTTCCGACCATTGAAGCGCAAACAATTTTACGAGTCCAAATCGTTAGGGCAGATCGATTTAAGCGAGTTCTTTTATCAGCATTAGATGTAGATTCTATCAGCGATTAGCTTTGTGATTGTGTAATGTATGAAAAAAAGGATGTCAGATTTTAATTAGAAAAATTTGTTCTATTTAAGTTGTCAGTTTATCGCTCTCGTAACTCTCGTAATTGTATAGAGTTTGTTCCTTGAAAAGCTTGCGATATATGGAACGGGTGATACCGGCGAAATTGAGTTTAATGTCGATTGCTGAGTTTATCGCATCGTATGCCCGGTTTACGGCTTCATCTCGATGATGTGAAGATCGTTTGCTTGATTGCTGAGTGTACTTTCACGAGATTGTGATTTCGCTTGATGAATAATACTCCCGCGGAACATATCGTAGCATTCTGTAGATATTTTCGATGTGTTTATCATTGAACTAAAAAAAAAACAGTCATGAAGTTACGTTCATTACGATAAAAGAGGAAAGTGTGTGTCCCGTGTGTAAAAGGCGATAAAATTTACTCCGAACATTCGTACAGTACGATTTTCAAAAGCTCTTATATTTTCCTCAATGCAGTTTTCAGCAGGCATTAGTGACAGATGTATTTTTGTATTCATATTGTTTATGAAATATAAATATGTAAAGTTTGTGGGAATTGACCAATATTTCCAATCGCTCGTGAAGTAAACAATCTTGTGAGCTTTTTAAGACTAAGTGGGTAGGCGTAATATTGAAAGAATCGTTGAAGAAAGTAAGTATTATACGGCAAGTTTAATCGAAGCTCCAAGAATACCGCGCTGTAACGGATATTAAAGGTTCACCCTGTTACACGAGCGACATTTGCTAATTATAAAGTTCCGCTTTTACAAAGTCACGAAGTGATATCGATTATGCAGGCATAATCGAGTATGCAACCGAACGATTTAATCTTCGCAATGCCGCAATTTCTCTCGCAAACGCTAGAAACAATATTTAAATCCTTTTTTCTATTTCCGAAACTTTTATTACTTTTAAAACGCCATACACGCGTTTTACAAATTATCGTTAAAAACTCCCTCTATTCACTGTTTACGTCCGATACGCACGCGTGCGTTACGATTGAAAAAAAATATTGCGTCGCTAAATTCGTAGTTTAATACATACGAGAGAGAGCCTGTATATTTGTTAAATATTTAATTGAAATAGAATTTGTGAACATACGACGGGTACGTTTGTGCGATGACCAATGATTAATGAGTGGATGTTGACGTTGAATTTACTGCGAACAACCTTTTCATTGCTTTATATAAATTATGTATATTGCATATGATTTTAATTACAGTAATTCACGATGTATCGCGAAACACAAGCGATTAAAATACGCACGTGGCACGTGCGTTTAATATTGGCAAATTTACCCTTTTCGCAAATAAGGCAACTTTTCGAAATTGCCCTATGGCGCACGTTGAACGATCGTTAATTTTTTAGCGTTGGATAACCTCACGCTAGTTTTTACGTTGCAATTATTTTTCCAATAAACTTTTGTAACGTGAATATTAAACGCACTGCGTTGTTCTTTGAGACGCAAATATGCTCGGGGGGAAAAAATGTCAACGCGATAATTCTTTCTCGCATAGAAATGGATGAATAAAATTGAAGCCAGAAAGTATTTTGTAATTATCGAAATGCATCAGTCGAGCTGCAATTCAATCTTGACAGCGCGAATATAATGCAGGACTGACGCTGAAATTTTATCACTACGATAAATCTACTATTGATTACGGAAATTCTCTTTTTTATTGGAATGGCGACGCGACAGCTGACGAGTGAGTTTGCGCACTTGCAGCAATTTCGTATTCAGTAATTTTTTCTCGTGTCGCAGCTTGTATTTCCCCTAAATTCGCTCGTTTTATTACAGTCGTTATATTTATTGCGAATGCAATTAACAGAGCTCTCATTTCTTACGACAATTTGTATGAATTCATCGAAATCACGTTGTATTATGTCCATCACGATATTTTCATGAATTTGATAAAAAATAGATAAAGAAACTTTTTTTAATGGAGCATTTGATACAGTTCGTTGTCCCCCACGTAGACAATCTAAATTCTTTTAAAACCTAAATAAATTTGCAGACCAAGAATAATCGCAAAAGAATGCTTTCTATTATCTGACAATGAGTTAAAAATAACATTCGGATATTTTTATGAAAATATTATTATTGCGTACTGCAAAGCATATACATATAACTACACAATCACATACTTTCCATGTATATACAATTACGCGACAAGAATAATCGTGTCTCTCGAGAAACTTCGTGTGGTCTTGACACAACTACGTTATTTCTCAAACGTTTCAATTTCTCTGACTCTCATCCATGGGGAGTCGTAAAATTTCGTGGTTGGAAGATAATTAATTGCCGGTCGGTAGAACTCGTGTAATTTTCCTTTATCGATGTGGTACACAGCATACTGGCTGGTAAAATTTCCCGCAACCTCCTTTAATCAGTGAAATTATGATAATTGGGTTATCGTGGGCTGAACAAAGTCAGATTTTCAATCATTCAAATGGCACAATAAACGGGGGAAAAATTTACAAACGAGAGATAATATTTTTACAATATTTCGCCATGTTATTACAAATCATATATCAGATTTTGCAAATAATTATTTTGCACTGAAATTATTTTTATTATTTATCGCGAAATTGCGTAAATAAGAAAATAAAAAATTGTGAAATTTTGTGAAATGTAAAATTTTATGACTTTTCCTATAACTTTATTTTCTTCAGTTTTTAAAACGAAATGATGTTATTTTGTTTTAGAAAATGTACACTAATGGTTTATTGTATCGAAATGTACACTAATGCTTTATTGTATCGAATAAGGGGTGTACATTTACAATATTTGTTTTCAATGGTTACCGCACCACACGTTGAGAGACTTCGTTACTGCGTGTATTGACTAATAATTAGGCGATAATTAATTGTTAACGTGAAAATGAAAGCTTGACGGTTTTCATTTTGTATGGAGATACCGAGATGGGATAATTAATGGCAAAGGATAATACACAGGATTATTTCTGAATTATCGGCTACTGACATAATTAAGTTCTTCATAAAATTGTAAATTTATCAAATGTACTTTTTATTTTCATCTTTCTCTCTCTCTCTCTCTCTCTCTCTTTCTTCAAATATTTTTTAAAATATTATGGTTTTACAAGAAATAAGCAAATTCAAGAATAAAATATTATATGTACTTATAAATTATATAAATTGCTTTCATAACGATTCATAATTCTCCGTATCTTATTTGTTATTTTTTTTATATATAAAATGCATTGGAATAGCATTAATTTGATAAATATACATTTTAAAAGAAAGGTGTAAATTGTAAATAATTCCGCGGATTTACGTAAAATAAGTGATACTATTTTCTGGCAAACTGTGGTGTATCGCCATTGTAGAAAGAATTCTTAAATGTAGGCATAAAAAGTGTTTAATGTTTAATTACAGGATGTTTAAATGCTATTGTTGCGGATATTTAGACGTTAAGTTCAAGCACGAAAGCTTTTATTTCCTACCTGCTTTCATTTGCGCTTTCATATAAGGGAGTAAATTCTTTCATTCTTTCTCCTAGAAGTTTAATATTTTCTAGCCTTTTTTAAACCGTGTTAATTAATTATAATGTCTAAGGAAAGAAAGTGTGAAGCAAATGACTGCACACCCGTCGGGCAAACGGATAAGTACATGTAGTTGTAATTTTATTAATTTATTTCGAAATTCAAAATATTTTATTTTCAATCTTTACATAATTCCCTTTAAGTTTGTCCATAAAACACTTTTTAATGTTATTTTAATTGTTCTATTGATTTTCATGCTTTTCCCATAATTTTATTAATAATAACGTTAATAATAGGTAGA